TAATCACTCTATGATGTTCGGGTCCGTTGAGCTGAGGCGAATTCATAGTACTTGAACCTCAATGGAATACTTACCGAAGGAACATTATGAATATGGTTATCCTGCTTGATCGATGCGAGTCGGAGTATGTACGGTATCGTGGAGAGATGTAGGTTTATTGGTACCTATCGAAAGGCACGCTCTTAGAAATGGTAAAAACTACACAACAAACAGGTTCACTAGATTAGTGCTATATTCCTAGGATTCATGATACTTATACTACTACCTCCAGCCTTACGTGAGTCGGGTACTAGCAACGAAGCTACGAGTATTGCATATTATAGCTTGACGAAATGACCTGTCAGAAGAAATTATCTTGCAACCTGCCATGAGCGTATACTAGAGTTGCATTCCCGCGACAATCCTCAGTGAAAAGCAACGGAATAGCTGTGGATATCTTTTGTGTGTAACTGACTAGCACATTGATGGAATCAGCTAAGTAGCATAAGTGCTTGTGCTCATAAGTCACTAACCGCGTGCGAAGGCTTCTTCTATAAAGGCTTATGCTATGAGTGACTGCATTAACACTATCTCAAGCCCATGAGACGCCGGTGCTTGCGCTATATACTGCTATAGGAATGTATGTAGTTAGCTAGCTGGTCGTTACGATCGAGCCGGTGCGGTATAGTACTTGTACTATATGCTTCTCGAAAGCTATTAGTGCTTGTAGCTATGATACCTGTCTCGCCGCTTGGTGATTCGGGTCATAGTGAATAGTACTTGTTGCTATAGATGAGCATGGTACTAGGTACGGGTACTATACTAGATAGTGTTAGTTACTAGTATATATATACATATAAGGCGGCGAGCCCATGTGTAGCCTTTAATACTGCTTTGCGTATATTAATTGCTGGGAATAGTTGCTCATTAGTTTTAAACGTGCGTGAGGCAAACTTAATCAAAATATACATTTGCAACATTTCTTCTTTACTCGGGTTATGGGGTATATCTCTGCTAGCATTTTATTGAAGTATTTAATAATTTATTTTTTCAAAGAAAAATATTAATATTATAAAGATTACCTAATTACTCTGCCAAAAATCTGAAATACCGAACTGCTCTACTCCTCATTAATATTTCTAAATAAGATGGATAATAAAATATACTAATTGATAGTTTTTAGTTATATTTTTGAGCTTTTTTTTTAATTCGTATCTCACCTACTTTTAGTAATTTTTTTAACGCAAAGTACTCTTTTATGGAAAACTGTAGAAATAAGTTCTTTTGATGTCAAAACAGAAGCACAAGGGTTAAGTACTAGGATGTCTTATTTTATAATGTTAATAGAATAGCGCAATAAGTTCCGTTTTGTAAGCGCGTAGTAATGTTAGTTTTTTAAATGTTTTTTTGAAAGATCTGATTAAGGTTTATATTCTACTGCTTAATAATCGGTTATAATTTTATATATTTATTATCAGTGAAAAAAGTTTTACATCAGGCCTAAAATCACTGGCCTTTATTTAGAAAAGGTTATATCAAGTTTGTCATGTTAACAATTATCTTAAGTAAACTATAATTCGTAAAATATTAGCTGTAAAAAATTATAGTGTTTCAGTTGATTATATTATCCTTTAAGCGAGCAGAGACCTTCAGTTCTAGTCCTTTTAATTAAAGTTTCAACTTTAAATTGATCTCAACATTTGGAAATTATAAATATTAACGGCAGGGCTCTTTATAAATTAAACTAAAAAATTTTTTAAAAAATCTTACGCTTTTAGCTTAAAAAGTTAAAAACTATGTCTTAAACATAATTTATTTATTTCCGTGGATCTGTAAAAATCTGTATTTAACGGAATAGCTATATTAATAACTAATTATTAAACATCTTATCTACAAACATAAACAATTTCACGTGTCCATAATAATTTGATACGACTTTATAAAATGCGTACACATCAGATAAAAATATTTTGAAATTTAACTTTTTGGCTAATGGAAGAATAATTTTCAACAGAAGGTAGGTTAAAATCAGCTCGATTTAAAAATCGAAATACTAACTGAATTCTTATAACGCAATTAACATAATAAAACAACTACCACCAGCAAGACTTTTGTTTAAGTTTTACACCTTTAACTAGGTTTATAATCTTATAGTCAATTATAATTCAAAAATTAGACTTAGAGTGATATTAATATACAGCTTTGCTTCCTTTATTTAAAAAAATATGTGAAAAAAATGATGATATATATATTTCTTTGAGCATAACGTGAACCATAGGGCGCTCAATAACATTCCTTTTCGAGTAGATATACCTCCTGAGCGGTAATCCCCTGTTATACTCGAATAAGTAGGAAACACGGCTTTTTGTGATTAAATCTTTTAATCTAGCCAAGTAAAAATCACCATACCCAATACTTTTTGTAAGAAGTCAGCTAGATCTACCAAGGTTTATAGGAAAAAAATAAATCTTTTAAGGTAGTAGACTTTTATAAGCTATTATTAGTCTAGGATTTTGCTATTCTTTCTAATTTTTTGCACCAAGAATATAGCGTAGAATTCTCTTTTTGAAAAATAATAGAAATTATATCAGAAACGTTGGTATTCTAGGAATCATTGTTATTATCTGAGGGGTTATTCTTTAGTTTTTCTTGAACAGCTTTAACGGTGCGGATCATTAAAGTCTTTAGTTTTTTACTAGGGTAACCCCTTTCTAAATTTCTATCATAAAGATTCTTTGTGAGAATCCAAAAATCTTTTTGATGCGCACAGAGGTGCTTATACCTGCGGGTGAATGGCACAATAACTCCTTTTAATGCATTAAGAGCTTGAGCAATGTTGCAGGCTGTGTAAAGATATAATGAAAGTTTTTAACCATAGATTATACAAACAATTTATTGGCTTCCATTTCTGAAAAAGAATCTAAAAAGCAGTTAGAATTGTCTTGTTTTATATCCATAGCCCAGTTTAATCTAGTACAAAGCGACATATGCTTCGCAAAGCCATAAATTGCACATTTGTGTTTTTTCTCCATTTGAGCGAAGTATCGTCCATACATCTTTTATACAATTTGATATAGGGAGCAAACATGAAATTACCAATTTGAAAGTAGGCTAATTAAAATGTGGCAGGAACCGCAGCAGCCGGATAACCCATAGCTATCTGTTGAGGAAAAGATCCCGGTTCATAATTTTTTAAAGTAAACCTCCATTTTAGGCAATTTTTATGAGTATTTTAGTTTAATTATTATCATATAAGGAACATTTGCTTATTATAAACAGGCAGTCGCATTAATTTTTTTTGAGCTTTCCTCTTGTTCACGTCCGTACAGCTGTACTTTATATATATATCTGTGTATAGTTAATTTCTAAAGGCTTAAAGGTTTAAATACCCTAAAACTATCCCGTTTATTGGTAAAGAAATTATTCTATGGTATTTCAATAAGAGTGTATAGTATGAGAAAAGAAAGCTTTACGTTCGATAAGACTTTCAATAAGTACTCTATCGTAAACTTGAATAGTGCTGGTGCATCTATAAAACCAGTTAAACGGCCTCATATTATCTAAGTTTTTCTTTGGATAACGTTTTACACCGATAATTAAGGTTTAAAAGCTTGTAGTAGATCTCAATTCAACAATTATCAACTTTGAACTTGCACTGATATCGATAATCGATATACATGTTTCCTTCATTCTTGAGCAGCGATTGTCATTTTGTCCCCCTCTTTATTTTCACCTTTTGCCTTTTATCTACCCCCTAAGAAATTTAACACATAAATTAATCTTTGATTTCGCTGAGAGGTTGTACAAAGAATTAATTAATTTCTCTAAAAATAAAGCGTTACTTGCATGAAAACGCGTAACAATACTTTTTGATACAAGTAATAGTTTGATAATCAATCAATGCTATTAAAGGAAATTAAGTTAATTGCTTAAAAAACCACCAAAGTGGTATCGTGTCCAGGTTTACAGGTTGCCAACAACGACAATGAAGAGGACCTTATAAATTGAGAGTAAAACTTTATACAAAAGTAGCATAGACAAAGAAAATGAAGGGACGTGAAGGTGTAAAGAACTTTGCATTTAACATATAAAAAAGAAAAGGATTTTGAGAATAATGCCAAGAAGTAAATTAACATTTTTCAATATTACTTCAAAAAAAGGGGAAACCTAAAGATAGCAGTGAAATATACTTATAGTTGCAAAGAAACTTGTAATCTTCAAAAATATGAATATACGTTTCTAATTACTATTAAGTAAATTGGTTAAATTTCCACTAATAGTTTAATAATGTTTATTTGTTGATTATGTCAACCAAATATAATTAAAATTTATGTCTTTTAAAAGTCTCTGATATCCCAATTAAATCTTAACCGGTTTAGGTGAGTTTGATGGACTTTTAAGTATTCAAGTTCATTATTTTATAATTAAAATTTACAACTTGACGCCTGTCGCATGTACTCTAGTATAATTATAATTTCTATTTAAAAATTATCTTGTAGGAATTGGCGTGCTCCCCTATTATGGTATTTAATTGAAAATTTTGTACAAATTTACAAACTAGTAAAAGTAAGTCATATTGCGTAGGGATTACTACATCTAACTTACGAGATAATAAATAATTTCCTCAGTATTTATATCACTTGTTCATATTGTGGTTCATAATTCAGACCTTGAGTTAATTTTAAGAAGCATTTTTAATTGCGGCAGCGGCTCCTCTAGAGTTTTGTTTTTAACCGTGCATTATTGGCACTTTTATTTTTAATTTTTCATGCTTTCTTCCCATAGACTTATTAAAATTAAATTCATGAACAGGAAATATTGGATGTTAAATACATAATAATTTAAATTACTTGCAAACGTACCAAATATTGCTAATTATGTTCATGAGTATAAATTCCTTCCTCAGATATATGCGGCCCCCTTCACCAAAAATATATTAGTCAGTTGAAGATACGAGTCAGTATACATCACTAACTTAATGGTTATAAACCTGAAATCTAGTATTTCTGTTACCTTTAATTTTGTTGAAAGTGGATTTTTTGAATTAAATGTTCTCTTTAAATAAATGCCTTGCTTAACTGTAACCTTTAGTAAGTGTGCCTTTGTTAAAACTTCATACATTGCTTTTTAATCTAATGAAAATTTTATACAGAACTTTTATAATATAATATAAATATAGTTTAATTAAAAAACTTTTTTCGATATTTACTTAAAAGTTTATCAACTCCCGCGATATAAAATTTGCACTCACCGACTCTACAATAAAACAAACCTACGTTAGGAAAATTTAGAACTATGACCTCTCCACAACACCAATAAAATGAAAAACCTTCCCTGGAGTGAGGATTACGGTCTTTTTTCTATAATCTCGAAAATTTATAAAATGCATGATTCGCAACTAAAATATTTTTGAATAAAAAAATTAAAGCTTGAAGGCGCAAGCAAAAATCATAGTAGGTGGCAGAAAGCCTACTAGCAGTAGCGCTTGCCGGTGTCTTCAGGCACCACGCTAGGCTTAGTCCGGGCCGGGTATCTTCCGCTTTTCCAGTCTCTCGGGATAGTCATTTAAGCTCTATAAAAGAGCGTGTACACTGGTGGACACTTGAGCTCCACCCTTACAGATGAGGGGAATTTTGATTGAAGCGTGCGTCTTAAAGTAACTTACGATGACCGACCATTGTATGCCAGTGTCTAAAAAAAATCGAGAGCTGCACTAAAAACTTTTTCTTGTTTCCTAATATAACGAGCATTTAGTAAATTTTTAAAGCTACCTAAACAATACTTTTAAGTAGTCAAAATGGATTTAGTTTTCTATGCTAAAATACAAAATCAATAACAAGGATTGCACACAGTTTTTTAGAGGGAGGAATACAACCATTTTCTTTTTTCTAAATTATTTAATAACTTTGATTACACAAAAGCTGTAACTTTTTTGGGACCTGATCGTTATACTTTCGGCATTTATTGAGGGCTTCTTGTTTTACATATAAACTTATATTTGTTATAGTCTTTGAATATATTGATTTTTTGTATCTAATGCTTTTATTTAACAAAAATGTATTAAGGAGAGATTTTTATTTCGCCAATTATAATAACTATAATGGAAAGTTTTGCAGAGTAGGCCTGGCTTACAAAAAAACCACTAAAAGGTTAAGACAGGTTTTTTAAATCCTTAAATCACCTCTAATAGATTAAATAAACAATTTATAAAAAATTATTAAAAAATTGGCTTTAACCAAGTAAAAAGTAAAGCAAAAAAACGTGTTAAACCGTTCCTAATGAGAATAGAATCACATGAAATGGATGAATGCTGGGAAAGTACTGTTAGTAAAAATGTTACGGCCCCCTTTTGTGGAAGGAAAATACAAATTTAAGATAATTTGCAGAAAAAAAACATCTAGCACGTAAAAAGTAAAATGTTAAGAAAAAGTTAAGTCGCTTGTGAAAGAAATTTTTAAATGGAAAAACGCAGGGAAAGTACAGTAACGGCCCTTTATAGTTTGTATGTACTTGAAGTCGACACCAATAACGAAAAGGTTCTATAATAAAGTTAATAAAGTTAATAAAGTATTCTTAGCACTTTATGAACAACATTAACTTAATAAAGGGAGAGCACTCACGGCTTTATATTGCCAGATAATAAGTACTGCCGTAATAATAATAAAAATTAAATAGAGATTATCGCAACCAAACTTAATATAAGAAAAATTTAATTTATTAATTTAGGTAATTTCTTAAATTATTTTACTTAAAAAAAACATTAAACTTAAGCATAGAAATCGGCGTAAAAATAATATCTTTTAAATTTATAACTTGTTAGCATAATTTTTTATTGAAAATTTAATGAACTCTTAGATCATTCTTTATAAAGCATATGAGGAATTGCATATTCGAAAACTCGTTAAACATTTGTTATAAGTTAAAATTTTTCACTTCACTTTTTTCATTATCAATCGAATAACAAACTAATTACCTTTCAATTAAAATAGGTAGAAAAAGTTATTTTTTCTGCAGGCTTATAAAAAAACCATATTGGAAGCTTTTTTATAAAATCAAATAAATTTCAATACTGCGATAAGTAACGTTATTTTGGGTTTCTTTATAATAACTTAATAAATTATTATGCACAAGAGGAATTGCAAATAGCAAAAGTGATTTATTAAATATGTGAAAAGTTTAAATTTTTCGCTTCGCACTATTCATTTTGAAATGAAGAACAAACCAATAATCTTTTTAAGTAAAATATAAAGGAAAAAGTTATTTTATGTATAGAAACTTTTAAAAAACACAATAATTGAAGTACTTTTCAAAGTTTAAAATAAAAAGAAATTATTTGCAACTAGTAACTATTATTTAAGGTAATTTATAAACAAATTACTAACTTAAAAATTGTTCTTCCGTTATGTATGAAAGGAAGTGAAATTAGCGATGGGCGAACTAAAAAAGCTGCTAAAAAAATGGTTGTTATTTCGTTCAATAAACTTTATATAGAATCATAAGCAAAAATTATTTTATTTAGTATAGAAAAATATAGTTTGTATATATAAAAAGAAGAATTTATGTCTTTATAAAAAAATATTTTATTTTTAAAAGAATAAACAAAGTAGTTAATCATATTTATAAATTTCAATTTATTTTAAGTTGAAATCGTTAAGTAACCATTATGTAGTATTTGACATTTCAGACTTTACACACTTTTTTTAAAAAACATAATATTATTGTATAGTTCTAATCGCTTACCTATATTTTACCATTTATAATCTAATTTTGTTCTAAAAATTAAACTACATATTGTATAAAATTTGAAAATAATTATACATCAAAAACATTGATATTTAAGATTTTTTTAGTATTAAAATTAATATAGAGCTATTTTTTTTTCAGATCAAAATGAATAAAAAATTAAGTTATTTATAGAATTGTCAATTTGTAAAAAATACTCATTAATCTAATTTTAAACTTGAAGTATATATTAGACAAACGTTGCGCAGTATTCTTCCTTTCTAACTATATTTTTATCTATAATTAATTTTTTTAAAGAATTAGTATTGAAGGGGATATATACCTCTTCCAACAAGAAAAATATGAAAACCTCAAAAAAAAAAATTTAGATATTATATTTTATACCATTTTTTGCATACTTAATCGTTTTAAAAAATATTAATATCAGGTTTATTGTAGCTAGTAGTATTTTTTGTTTATTTAAAAAAGATCCCTTCTTGCTTAGCTAAACAGTTCCAAACGCTAAAGCATTTATTAGTGTCTCGAACATCAGATTATGCCAATTGCTTCTTTTACTTTTAACAAACATCTGTATTTAAAAAAATTGCTTAAAAAAAAAAATAGAAACTTCACTTCACTTATCTAACTTTACTGAAAACGAGAAACACTTCATGAACTTAGTAAGTTTGCAACAGTTAATTGACAAGTTTCCAGAACTATTTGAACGGCAAAAGTTTATTTTTACAACTGATCATCTTTACTGTGTCACTTTTGAACAACTACAAAAAGAAATTAATAATATTTTAACAGTAAAAGGGATTATTTATATTAGTTATATTTCTTTAAAAATAAATTTTAGTTGTTTAGGTAGAGCGAGTATAATTGAACTTGCTGACTTCTTGAATGTCGACATCACTTACATCAACAAAGTCGTGGATGTAAATTTATCGAGCGTTAGTAGTAAATTTTGTAAGATCCACGGAGAACTTTATTCCAGGTGTACTATATTTTTTGTACTGCTTACCCTGTTTTTTCATGTTCTATTTTCTAGGGAGCTATTGAAGAAGTACACTTCCTCAATCACTAAACTGTTAGGAGAGATGGGTGCTTTATTATACATAAAAACTTCATTCTTGCATATTAAATTACTTTTAAAATGTTTATATGTTTAATATTTACACTATTAGGAGAAGTTGATTTAACTTTTATATCTAATCACTTTAAGTTACCTAAAGAAACCTTGTTAAAAGTTAATTTTTGTTTAACTTGGACTTATAAAAATATAATATATTCACTTTATTATTGTAGATTATAGAAGATGCTGGCATACCCATTCTTCGTGGAAGGGCTTCAAATTCGCATCTTATTGCTCCTACGTTTGCCTTTCGTATTTCTATCAATAAATAAAAAAAAGTTTATGTTTTTAATAAAAAAGTTCCTTCAAGTCAGTCCGGTGTCACAAAGTTCTTGGAGTCTTTAGAGCTTTGACTAAACCCCTGCTACTTAGTGTTATCAAAGATAAGTATCATTTTCAAGATGACTTGTATGGTATTTCTTGGTTCTTCATTGTCCACCCCTTCAACTTTTTATACCGCAATACACCTCGCTATAAAATTGTTGCTTTCTAAATCGAAAAATGTAGGACTTCAAATCTACTGTTACTTTGTTTTTTTAGTTTTACATGCTCTTAATTTAAATTTTAAAAATTTTCACTGATCGGTTTTTTTTAACTTCTATAAATTATATACTGCTAAATTATTGGTTTTATATGAAACTATACCAGAACCTTTTAACTTATTTAACTATTTTTTTAAGATGTTGTGCGAGGCTTAATCCAAGAAAAGCTTTTGCTTGGAACTATAGATAGTAATTAAAAAATATTTATTTAGAAGTAGTTAATAAATATTGTGAGTAGACGCTCAAAAAGAAATGATTTATACGCCCGCAATTTATAACTCTCTGCGAGAACAGTGGCTGCGGGAAACTTTATGCCACAACGGCTATTTAGGTATCCTATAAATATTGGGTAAAAAGTTGTTCTTATTGGTGGATAGCAGAAATTTCAGTTTTACAGTGACTTTAAACTTTTAATACATTAATTATAAAAAAAGTTAGTATGTAATAGCTTTGGAGAACCTTATGCCTTTTAAAGTAAAAATTTTACTAAACTTTTTACTATATTAACATTTTGTTCGAGGTAAATTATAAATTTTGTCCGATTTTACGAAATTAATAACTATTGCGATTATGTGTACGTTGAGAAAAAAGCTGCTCCATCCTTTGGAAGTATAATAGTTTATTATGTCTTTTGTTTATATTAATACTTTTTTTTAAAACCTTTGATGTTATTCTAATATATATACTATATACTAGAAACTACTATATTTTTCGTCAATTTGCTGATTCTTGTATACTTTATTAAAAGTTGGTTTTTACCGATGAAAAGGATTTATTATAGTTCAAATTTAGTTTTTTAAAACTTTTGTTTAACTTGTAAAATTTTTATTACTTCTATATTTTTATTGTTCTTCTTGACTGTTAGTAAAAAGTTTGATTTTTCTTAATGAATATACTATGGTTGAACCGAAACAAAAGTTTAATAGACTTGTTGAACAAAATGTTCTTTATAAAAAGTAAAGGAAACTTTTTACAAACAATACATTGCTAGATTAATAAAATAAATTCTCCTTTAATTGATATTTTCAACTTTATAAAATTATTTCTTTTAACTTCTATAAGAGAGCTCCAGAGCGTTGGCTATGGGAATCCCAAATACAAGCATTAAGAGATATTGTAATCAATTTCTCGATGGCGTACTTTTAAGCACTTTATTTATTGGTAAAGAACTTTTGCGACAACTTTACGATACTTTTCGGGAACTCTTATTTTGGAAAGGCTTCATTTCTCTTAACGAACTTGTGAGCTTTCTTAAATATTATAGTTTTGTAGGATTTTTATAATTCAAAGTAAAGTTTGTCAAATTTTTCTTTTTGATTTGTGTGTAAATCACATAGTTTATAGAATTTGAAATTTTTACAATTTTTATTAATTTGTACCAAAATTAAAAATTTTTTATAATTTTAATTTTTATTATTTTTATATTTAGAAAGATTTTACTTCCTGTTTAACAATGAAGGATTGGGAAATTTTACTTTCTTTTCTCAACTCTGCCTCAGGAAATTTCGACAAAGCCTTTGAAACTCTCCAGTCAATTCAACTTGAAGGCGGCTGCGGCAGCCTTGCTCAAACCAACTTTGATATTATTTTTATTAACAAGAAGTATTTGTAGAAGTTCCTTTTTTAATTGATTTTGTATATAAAATTTATTTTTTATGAAGAATGTTGTGCACGAGACAATTTATTGATCAACTTTCAGACCTATTAAAGTCCACCGTTCAAAATCTGGCAGTTTTTTTTAAATATTATTTATAAAATCTAGATTAATTTATAATTTGTTATTTAATAAAAAATTAATAATGGAATTATCTTCTTTTCTTAAATTTTTAAATTTATATTATTTTCTAAACTCTGAAATTTTTTACTAATTAATATATTTTCTAATATAAAATCTCAATTTTTTAGTTTATTTTTTTTGATAGAAATAAATATTGAGATTAATTTACTATTAAATTTTTAAATTAATATTTATCTTTATTTTACCTCCAGAATTTTTAGATTATTTTTTTAATAGTGATAAATAGGGAGATTTATTTTCTTTTCTTTAAGTTTTTATTGTATATTATTTCATAAAAATTAATTTTTTATTATTTTCATTCTAAATTATTAGTTTTCTTTTTTTAGTAATTTAAATAAATAGGAAAACTTGTTTTGTTCTCTCTCTATATATATTTTTTTAATGCTGAATTAATTTTTTTTATTAAGTTTAAATTCGATTATTTATTATACTCGAAATTAAATAGCGATTTATTTACTTTTCTTAAAGTTTGAATTTTCTTTTATTTTATAAAATTATAACTAATTCATAAGCCAATATATTGATTTTTATTACGAAATCAAAATTTTTAAATCATTTATCTTAATAGAATAAATCAAGTGAATTTTTTTCTCTGTTTTCATAATTATTTTATAGGAATTTTAAACTATAAACAACAAAGTAATTTCGCTTATGTTTAATAGTCGTTAATGTTCATAAAATTAAAAACTTTTTATTTTTTTAATTTTATTTTATAGTTTTTCTGTTATAAAGAAAACCCCTTTATTGTTGTTTAGCTGTTTTAGATATTACTATTTTAATTATTTTTACTATTACATCTAGAAATTTTAGTTTTCTCCAAGTTATGTAACTTTTTTATTATCAATTTCATATATAATTCAAAATTTCCCTGTAACTGCTTACTTTATTCTTTATTTTAAATTACTTTTACTATAAGTTACATTATTATTTTAAAATTTTATTATATAACCTTTATTACTATAATTTACTCTTAGTCACAATTATAAAAAAATTTAATAATTTATATTATTAATTTCTTTGAGTACTTGATTTTTGAAGTTATTATTTATTTTTAGTACGTAAATCAAAATTTATTTTACGTTTCGATTTTAATACTTTTTGAATATTTATTATAATATACGTTTAGTATTTATTTTTATAAAACATTTTATTATTTTATTAAATTTTACTTTTAGTTCTTTATTAAAAATTTACTTTTTGATTATTTACTTTTATACTTAAATTTTAAATTAATAGTATTATTTTCATTCAGTTTACTTGTAATATAATGAACTTTATTTATAATTTTCATTAAAATTTACTTTTAGATTTTACTTCATATTATCTTTTATAATTCTCATTTTATGATCCCTAATAAAATTTTATGTTTTATATAAATGTATTTACTTTTTTATATGAAACTTTTTGTAGCTCAGTACTTTAATACTAATAATTTTTTTTTTTTATTTTCTAGCGTTTTTATATTTATTATTGTTATAGACTTTTAAGTACGCTCAGGATCATTTTCATAATAAGCGAATGCTCAAAAATAATTCACTTAAAGAAAAAAGTATTATTTATCTTATTTCTACTTTTTAATATATATATTTTATAACAATGTAGATTTGTTTTTTGCTGAAGTTGAGAAGATTTTATTTATAATACTATTTCTTATTAAAGTTAGTTCTCAATGTAAACTTTGCTTATATTTTAACGAATAGCATGCTTTTTCAAAGAAAATAGTGAGCGGCTCATCCAATTAGTTGTTGGTGACATTGTTGAAAAGGTTTAAATATTTCTTTTTTTTATATAAAAATTTTGTATTAAACATTTTTAATTAACAAAAATTTGAAGAAGTTTTTTTAATATAGAATTTCTTCATTATTATGTATATTTTTTTAATGTTTTAATTTTAATTTTTTTTTTTAAAGCTTTCAATTAAAAAATACCACTCTATCATGTTGATAATATTCAAGAATTTAATAATAAAATAAAATTTGTTTGCGTTATTTTATTTAAAATCTTTTTCCTTTTCACATAAATTTCAGCATTTTTTTATTATAAATTTTTTTTATAATAATATAAACTAAAAAAAGTAACTAATAAAAAAAAATTTTCAAAAAATAATAAATTAATTAAAAATATTAAAACAAAAGAAAATAATATAAAGTTTTCTAAAATTTTTCATAACTTTTTGCATGTAAACAAAGTTTATAAAAAGTTTTTAAAGATTTTTCCTTTATTTATTGCACATTTACTAAATTTTTAATATTATGATTTTTGTTTCAATTTTTATCGGTAATGCTAATTATTATAATTAAATTACTTTAAAAAATTATTTTTTTAATTTTTTATTTATAATAGACAGCAAAAATAACAAAAAAAAGTTAACAAAAAAGGATACCAAAAAAAAGCAATTAACATTTTTTTATAATATTAAAATTTACTATAATAATTTTTAATTTGTGGTTTTTTTATACAATTTGTTTTTTAGTTTTACGCTTTATTATAACTTTAAACATGTTTCTATTTCTTTTTATTATTATTACAATTCTATTTATATTTTTTATATATCTGAAACAAAAATTTAAGTAATTCTTTTTATTAAAATTTTTTTATTTTTTATTTTTTTTTTTTTTAAGATTTTTATTTTTATTTTTATTGTAAAGGAAACTACTTTACTTATTCACTATGGAATGTCAAAACCCTTTTTAACGTCGTTGCTGAATTATTTAGTTCCTAAACTTTTCCAGGAAACTGCAAAGGTTTTTGATTTATCATTCTTTTATTTAAAAAAATTCAATTCTAATTTTAATATAAAAAGTTAATGTTTTTAAATTTCTAGAAAAAAAATAAATAATTGCAAACTACTTATTTTATTTTTTTCAATTCTTGAATTTTAATTTTAATTTTATAGTTATAAGATAATTCAATATTTTTTTTTTTCAGTTTGTAAATTATAATTATAATTTTATAATAAAAGTTAGTTATATTTTCCAAAATATTTGAAAACAATTAATTGTTAATTAAATTTTACTTTTTATTTACTACCAATTTTTGTTACTTGAATTATTTTATTTATTTTATATTACTTTTCTAATTTTTATATAAACTTGAATAATTTTAAATGAAAATTAACGTATACTGATATAATTTATTTTTATTAATTATATTCTTGTTATTAATTTCAATTCTAATTATATACCACTACTATTGTTATTTTTATAGTTATTTTTAATACATTTAATAAAAAAATTGATTTAAAAATTTTTAGAGTCATAATTTTTTTTAATATTTTTTATACTATTTCCATTTTTTTTTAGTTATTTACTGATTGCAATTATTATTTAAAAATAAAATGTTTCTAATAAAAAACATGCGCAGGAGTTTTCCAGTTCTACTTTAGAAATTGAGGAACTGAAAAAGGTTCAAAGAAAAAATGATCTTGAACAAAAATTTTCACAACTTTTAGATTCTGCCTTTCTATTTACGGAGTCCTTCAAAATCTTGCCAAGTCGCTAATTATACTATTGATTACTCCTTTTATACTATTTGAATTCATATTTATACTCTTCAATGTTGTTAAATAGTTTATATGAAACAAAAAAGAATTTTATTTATTGTTTATTTATTGTTTTTAAGTTTTTTTTAAGTAAATGTTTTTTTTTACTAAGCAGAACCCAGAAAACTGGAAAAATATTTTATGGCAACTCTGACTGGCCAGTTAACTTTACTTTTAAAAGGGTACAGCCTTATGAATTTCGATTGGTGTCCCTCCGAGGTGTGCATTTATATTTACTTCTTATTAATTTTTTTTTTTACGAAAACAATAATTATGAAAACAAAGAAAATTATAATTAATATTGAATAAAAAGTTATAATAAATAATATAAAACCAATAATTAAAAAAACTTTAATTAGTGAATAATAATATAATAAAATTAGTAAAGTCCGAAAAATTAATTGTAAACATTGAAAAATAATATTAAAAAGAATAAGAAGAATTTTTCTTTACGAATAATGAAAAGTTTTGTATTAATTTTATAATAAATTATAATAAAAATTTTTTATTTTATTTAATAGTTTTATTTTTTCAGCCTTAAAAATATTACGGAAATAGTTTTCTAATTACTTATTAATATATATTTTGTTTTTTTACTTTTTTAGTCATGAAAATATTAAGTAAAAAGTTATTATAAGAATTTTTGTTTTTTAAAAGTTTCATGATTATTATATAAAACCAGTAAGTGATTTTAAAATTAATTCATTATAATAAGATTTTTAAAAATGGAAATTTTATATAATCGATATTAATTTTTTAGTCATAAAATAATATTAATAAATAATCATAAAAATTTTTTATGTGAAAAAGTTAATATTACATTTTAAGAGAAAAAGCGATTCCAACTTATAAACTTTTTTTAATATTTTTTTTAATTTACTTTGAGATTATTATGACAACTTTTGTAAAAAAATTCTAACACATATTTTTTATTCATATTTATTTATTACTATTTAAAATCTACACAAAAGTCGGAAGAAAAAAATAAATCTTCAGAAGATTTGGAAACAGTTTTAAGTAAATTTCCTGATCATGAGGGGCTTCTTGCCTTAAACGAATTGGAAAACTCTACTAAAAATAATAAGAAAGTAATTTATTTATTACTATAATTCAAAGAAATTTAATATTAAGTTAATCTAAAAAAAAAATAATAATAAAATATCTCACAAGTTTCATGGTAATTTTAAAAATGAAAAGCACGTGCATGTAAAACTTTTTTGTTCTGTTTATTTTTATAATACAAATATTTATTACTGATAACATTATGTATTTAATTTTATTATTAAGAAACTTTTGATAATATAATAATATTTATATATATATCTATTATTATCCTTATTTATTATATTATTTTTATAACAGTATATCAATAACTTCAGCTAATAACTTTTGTTATTACAACTTTATTATTTTATTTTCACACATTTTTTATATGTATAATAATATTTCTTTCAATAAAAATTTGTTTATTATAAATTTCCAAGGTACACCATGGCATCTCTTAAATTTCCTTTAAGTAGACGCTCATTATTATAATAGTGTTAATGTTTTTTTTTCAAGTAAAACACAAGATTTATTGTATTAATAGGAAATTTCTTATATAAATTATTTTTTTTTATTTTAATAAATTTTATATTATATTTATTTTTATAATATAATTGCTATTTTTTCTTTTTATAACATTATAAAATATGCTTTTTTATTATTTATATCCTTATAAAAACTAAAAATATATAAATAACGTTTAAACTAGTAAAACCTAAAAAATTTTAAGTATAATATGAATATACAAGAAACTAATATGTAGAAATCTTTAATTAAAAAATAAAACTAAAAAGTTTTATAAAAGTTAAAATCTTAAAATTATAATTTAAACTCAAACAAAAATTAATATTGATATAAAAAAGTATATAAAATTTGTGCTTAATAAAATTCTAGAAGCTTCTCTATATAATTTTCTAATAATCATGCACCACAAACTTTGTAATAAGAATTATAATATAAGAATATTTTTTAATATTACACAAGATTTCCTGTAAAAAAAATATTTTAAAAGCACAAGACTGTCTTTATATTAACCTTTTTAAATCAGACACTATATTATAAAATAAAGATTATGGTAATTTTACTTAGCTGAAATGCACAAGATTTGTTATTGACGAGAAAAGGTACTTCAAAGCGTTATTTTTGAATTTTATTTATAGACACAATATTATAGTGAGAATATACAAAATATATCATATAATAAAGATCTTAGTTATCATTCTTGGTAGGACTGCCGGCCTCATACTTTTTTAAGCAAACTAATCACTACTGCCAAACTAAATGGATTATTTTATCGAAAACGCGATAAAAGAAAAGAAAAGTCACCACTTTTATTTTTATATAATAAAGTAAAGTTTCAATTTTTTTTTTCAAAAGACAATTAAAAATTGCATTGGCCTCCTCTTTACGCTTCCAATTGCACAGAACAGAAGACTATGCTTCGGCTTTCCACATAATTGTTTTATTACTTTTCTATGAAAAAACTGGTTTAACGTATTATATATATATATGTATATTTAATATAGTAGCTCTTGACTTTAGGATGTCTGCTACATTCAGACGGAAAATGTGTACCGAGCATTATAGAGAACATCCATGAATTATCCATATTAGCAGAGGAAACGGTTGCCGATCTACAATCTCTTCAGGATTCCATAGTAAAGATGACGGCATTTGACGCCGAAGAACCTAAAAAAGAAGTTCTTTGCTCGTTTGTTCAGAATAGACTTGAAGATTTAAAAAAAGAGCTTCGAATACATACTGAGTGGTGCGATAAAAATAATGGACGGGAGTAAAATTTTTATAAATGGTAAAGAGTACTTTGTTTATTATTTACCTAATAAAAAGAAAAGGTAAGGTAAGTTTGTTAACACCAAAGCTCTGCTTTCTGTCTTTCAATTTAGCTTTCACAGGGAAACATATGTCAACAATATATTATTAATTTTAAATATATGGCTCTGAATCGTTATTAAAATAAAAGTATTTTAGCAAAAAAATTATTAGTCGGAATGATCGAAAAATACAATAAATTGAAAAAATTTTATTACAATAAACTAACTAGGAAATTTCGAAAATACTTTATTTATTGATTTATTAGTAAACTCAAATTGATTTTTTAAAAACATTAATTATAAAACGTTGGGGCCAGAATCTTTAAAAAACAGTTTGTAAAAGTGTCTTGTTCAATTATAATAAAATCACAAATATACCAATATTTGGTAGCACTTGAGCAGTTATTAATTTGTAATCTTTTTAAATCATTTGCATAACTGTTTCAGCGCTGTCTAAAGTAAAGAAAAATACTAGATTTTGATATCATCCATCTACTTTTATAAACGATAAACAATAAACATTTTTTAGAAAAAAAGGAAGTAACTTTATGTTATAATTATAAGCTTGAAAGATATATATTCTATTACTATCATGCGTTCTATTAAAAATTGCACAGTAGGACATAGAATATGAAAGACTGAAATCTAACTAAAGATATTAAAAAAAAAAGATATTTTAGGAAACTTGTAGAACTACAGTTTTTATTCTTTTTCAATATCAAAATTTTTTAAAAAAAAGCAACCATAAAAAATTTTATAACTGAAGGATAATTAATAACTATAATTTAAAATATTCTGAAATTTTACGACGATGTTGACTACGCCAAACTGTAAAACTCATACGAGGCTCAGCAAATTTAATTACATTTTTATTTATTTTATTTGTCATTTCAATTCAGTCAAGCGCAGACGGTTCAGTTTTGCTGAAACTTTTTCATTATCTGGTTAGTCCATACTCATAAACATGATCGTGTGTGACTCTTCGCGGGAGTCGTCGGAAGCATGCGCCTACCCAGGGTTTCATGAGTGTTTGCATTTCGGAAAAAGACTGGCCGTCATGCAACATCATTTCGTACGAAATAAGGTACGCTGGCATTACTCACGGGAGTTTGTTTTCTTGCGTTTGCAGGAGAGCAATGGTCGATGGATTTTTGTAGGTCCAGAACAGAATGAGTGGGCCATTATAGAGCGCACGCGCACTTTATAGAGGCGCAGTTTTTTGTACAGAGATATCTTCACCTTTTGCGCACAGCGACAGGAAGTGCGCTAGGGTCGCAGCTTTGATTTTAACCCGAGTTTCTCCGTGTTGATGAGGTCATCCCAAAGTAACGTTAATTAAAAGGTATTAAATCCTTTCTTCAAAGTATATAAACGTAATTCGTATTATTGAACGTTAAGAGATGAACACAATAAATACATAAAAACCCCGTCCTTTCCTCATATCTACATCATGGTTGCTTTTTTGTAGTCCTTCCTTGCCTAAACAGATAATAAATATTTGTATTGAAGTGCATCTTTTTAACCCAGTAACTTTTTTTTTTTAATTTTTTTTTCTATTTCATCTGAGTGAATTATCTTAAATTTTATTTTTTTTAATACCTTCTTTTTCTTAGCTTAAGGTTGATTAAGTTTTCCTTCAGCTCTAGTAATTATATTTACAAGTTTAAACCACAATTGTAGATATTTTAAATTAACTCTAATCAATATTTATACTCGGTTCAAAGTTAATAAAGTTATCCCTCAATCTATTTATACTTTGCATATTTTGCATTTTAACGCTCCACAAGATTCTTGAGACCTTCAAATAGTTACAATACTAATAAAATTCTTTTTATCGGTTAAAAATAGAATTATTTTAAGACAAAAAAGCAATAAAATCTCGGATATTTATTAAGTAAATTAAGATAATTATTAAATAGTACGCAGAGCTAATAAAATAAATAAATATTTCCTTGTAAACCTTATTTACAGTTTGTAAGTGGCGTCAGTTGGAAATATAAGCTAATGTTAAGCTAATGCACACGATACAGGTTAGAATATTTAAAAAAGTTGGAGTGGAAGGGTTACCTGAGGCAACCCCTTAAGTATGTAAACAAATTAAATAATTACAAGGTGCTTGTCAGAATAAAAGAGTTATGACCCTCAAACCGTAAAAGTTTTATGATCAAAAATAGAGTAACTTTGTAAAAGCAGTCGCGTTTGCCATCTATGCAAGCTTTTGCTCTTTGGTACCTCGATGAGCTAAATGCGGTGAGGATTATTTGACCGCAAGGTGTACAAACCACGAGACTCGCTGCTAAATATGCAAATTGTGGCGAGACACATAGCCTAATCATCAAGGCTGCAAATATTATCCGCGTAAGGCGGCCATCTAATCCGCATAGTTCACTTCGTCAGCGCCAACTACAAACAGTACTATTACCCGGGGGTCTCTTACGCGTCTCCTTTGAGGACAAATCTCATCAAGATTTTATCAATATCCCATTAGGTCCAAGCCCCCTGGTCACACATCGTAGTCGACAATAAGGCAGATGTTAGCAAATTTTAAAGACAATTTTATCAGCAAACTTGAGGCTGTGAAAAGACTAGAATCTGTCTGAAACTTTTTCTAAGCCAAAGACGCACCGCCACATTCGACTTCTATTATGGAATGAAAACGGTGTCCAGAGGAAGAAGCAGGAGTTTCCCGAACTGCTACAACGAGAAAGAATTGATGTATGCGCCATCAACGAGATGCACCTTTTTCCTAATGTCGTATTTAATTTGTGCAATTTTGTTGCGTATCGCCAGACAGAATCGGTGACTTGGTAAAATGGAGTATACGACATCATTCGATATTTATGCCAGCTCTGCAAAGTGTCGAGGCAGTGGGGATCTCCCAGTGTATGCCCAACCAGATCTCGTGTTTGTAATCGCTATCTATAAATCCTCTAGGAAGCTACTTCCGCCCTCCGATTTGGACGCCATCTTGAGCGTGCCTCTTCTACTGTTTTGTGGGGAGAGGGGGAGTCGTGGTCTTCATTGCAAGCACCCTTTATGGAACAGTCGAGTCGATAACTCGAATAGCCACGTCCTTGACGCCTAATCTGATGAGCAACGGGCTATGTGTACTAGGTCCCCAGTAACAAACACACTAATGGCATAGCGAGCGTAGTTGGTTGCCATACCTAAAGATATATGTCTCTCACAGAAACTGAAGCGCTACACGAGCTGTCTTTCGATCACCTCCCAGTTATTTTCGACTTAGGGGACGAGAATGACACAACAGAGATTTTTACCCGTATTTTTACTGAATGGGAAAAATTCGGTCATGTATCAGAAACCACGTTACAGCCTTTTCTGCCATTACCGTCTACGCCCGCCCTGCTAGATGATACTGTTGCCCTTTTCTAAACCGCACTGAACATGGTTCGCTCTACTGCCACAACAACTCGTGAACTAACATACCTGCCAGAGAGTCTGTCTGAAGAACTAAAGGCAGTCGTATGCCAATGTCGATGTCTTCATTCGAAAAGCCATGTTACTGCAGAGCGTCTAAGACAAACTTGCGATTAATCGACTTCACAGGTGTATTAGAAAAAAGCTAATGGCCCATTTTGACGATAAATGGGAGAGCAAACTGCAGCGTATACCAGAATCAGGCAGCATTAGCCAGTTTTTCTTTTTGGGTTTTTGTTGAACAGGATCAAAAATCTGGGGCTTGTATCACTACCGCCCCTTCGTGACGGAAATATAGTGGCCGAGAGTAATGAAGATAAAGCTACGCCTTTTGCCCATGTTCTTGCTATCCAAAACGCGCTAGCTGCCCACTACACTGGTAATGTTGCTGCGTTCCCCCAGCTGAGCTTAATTTCTCCCCGTTAACTACGTACCATCTAGTCTAGCCTAGTTAATGTTGACGAGGTGCAAGCAATTGTCGAAGCGCTCCCTAAACGATAAGCTCCTGGTCTCGAGGGCACCACTAATGGGAAGCAGAAGAAAAATGCCATTAATAGGGATGTACTCTCTTTACCTCTCTATAAAATAGTCGACGCCCCTTGGCGCCTTTCTAATTCGATGGAAGACGGCGATCGTTGTAATACTACCAAAAACACTTAAACCGTCGGAATCAGCCTCTAGCAACTACCGGCCCATCAGTTTACTGTCAACGGCCAGCAAAGTGGGTGGGGCTGTTTTACTGGGCCGTCCTAATGAGGTCGTTGACGCTTGGAGAGCTTTACCGGAGTTTCAATTTGGATTTTGGCAAGGGCGCTAAGCGATCCAGCAGCTTCTCCCTTAACTGAACTGGACCACGCGCGCTTTTAATAAGAAGGCAACAGGCACTGTCTTCCTTGACGGTGGAAAGGGCATCCAAGCAGGTTTACCATGAAGGTCTGCTGCACAAACTGCTCTCGTTATCCGTTCCTCATAGCCTTTACAACGAGCTGAAATCATACCTACCTGAATGGTCGCGTCTTCAGCGTGCACGTGCGTGATACCCGACCACCGCTTCGATCTCATAGCAGGGATCCCTCAGGGATCACTTCTCTCGCCCCTTTTTATTTACAATTTACATGAGCGACGTGCCCTTGCCCCCCCGATCCATACACTCAAACGCCCTCTACGCTGCTGTTACGACTGTGTATTCCTCTTCAAAGTCTCCCGCCTTGCTACGCAAGCATCTACAGCGCTATCTTGACGCCCTTGCTGTCAGGTGCCATGATTGGAAGGTTACTATAAATGCGATAGAGTAAAGATATATTAATTTCAAAAAAAAAAAAAAAAAAGAAACTCGTTCCATTGTTGGTGCCCTTAACCTTTAATGTCATGAAGAATTCCATGGTGTTCTCAAGTGAAATACTTGAGAATCATCATCGATATCAAATTTTCCTGGGTGTCTCACGTGGACTGTAGGGGCGAAGGCCAAGGCAGCAACCAAGGCGCTTTATCCTTTACTTTGCGGCAAGAGTAAGCTTTTTTGCGAA